ACCACCTCCCTTGGAAGTCCATTCCATATTTTGGCAACCCTCACTGTAAAGACCACAATTCCACAGATTCCCCTTATTCAACTTGCGATATAACTATTTACAAAATCAAACAGTACATTTTAAGCTAATAATTCTGTATTTACAGAAAAAAAGGCCGCTGCCCAAGGAGACATGCAGTTGGAGACCTCTAATCAGTGGTTCCAGCAAAGCCCTACACAGTTGGCATCTGGCCTGGTAACCTTGTCCTCTCATGCATCGCACTAACCCCTTGCCTACCAAGCCTCTCAACAAAACAAAACAAAACAAAACAAAAAAGATTCTTCATTTGAGTCAGTCCTGGGTCTACTGGCAGCTTTTTTTTTTTATTAATTTTGATTTCAAAGTGTTCGTTAATTTTGGAGTCTTTTAAATAGGGTTGGTTGGTTGTTATTTCTGTGGGATTTTAAAATTCTTTTGTTTGTATTGGGTTTTAAACGTACCATTCGTTAAAATTTGATGTAAGCGTGCTGTGGCTGGACGTGTGATGGACTGCTGAGGAAGAGGGGGATAAGGAGCTTGTGGTCTGGTTTTCTGTAGATGGAGACACGATTGTTGGGGGGGTCGAGGATTCGTAGCCTGAACTGGCAGCGGGAGAAGGCTGGGACCCCTGGGAGGATGACTCATGGACCTGCAAAATAAAAACGGACATAAATAGATAACAGAGTAAATAAGGGGGTGGGAGGCAGATATAGAAAATAGGAAGACAGACTTCTAATCCCCCACCCCCACCCCCACAGGGAACCTCTAGGCTGAATTCCCAACTTCGCCTCGGAAATGTTACGGACCGTTTTGCTGGGCCAAAGTCTGGGGACATATTGCATTGCTGGGAATGCAGGTTGCTGGGCGCATAGAAACGCGCGACTCGAGCTGTTTGCATAAACAACCTGCTTCCCAGGCTCCCGCAGGGCACTCCCATGTGAGCTACACCCGGGCCTGGCACACAAAAGGGAGCGGATCTGCTGCAAGCCCCGAGCTGCCCCGCTCGCCGAGCCCGGCTCGCCGCGGCGAGAGCCCGGAGCCTGCTCCTCCATTGTGAGCCCGCACGTTCCGCTCGGGAGCACGCCTGCCCTTGAGCCAAATAAACAGCGCTTGTTTAAACCCTTCTGGAAGAAACCCAGCCCTGGCCAGGTTGCCCTTGTCTCTCCCAATTTTCTGGCCACTGAGCACTTCTCCCAAACGCTGCCTTACACCGCCACAGCCAGACGGAGAGCCAAACACAGGGCACTTCTTCTTCTTCTTCTTCTTTTTTTTTTTTTTGCAAGTCTCCCAGCCTTAGCTAGTTAAATAGCAGCCTTGTAAATCGCCAGGAAAGCGTCGGAGAGAAAGGCTGGGGAAGAGCACATAAAAGAATGCAACGTCCATTACCTTCATGTGTTTTCTGAGGGAGCTGGGGTGCGTGTAGGATTTATCGCACATTTTGCAGAGATACGGTTTGT